TTCGCAAAACAATAGATGTGTCACAGTGAATATCTATACTGTGTGATAGTAATAACACGATAAGTCTGCTTAGAATGAAGAAAGCGCTCTTCATAAAACGGCTACTTTAGGCCATAGTCCAAGTCTTACTAATTACTTCACCGCAATATCACAACCAAGTGAGCCAGTCGACGCGACAGCGTCTGGACCGCGTGAGGACAGTCGATCAGGAGGTCGAGGAGTTCGGAGACCGTCAATTCGCTCGATATGTGATAAAGTGTGAGTTTTTTCTGTATATATGTGATATGTTTTAATCACCATCTGAGAGTTTGTGGGATAACAAAATGAAGGGTTCGGAACTGTGGTGAATCTACTTGATTCAAAAACAGCTGAATTTATGTATATGGTGATGTCAATCAATAGCACGCATTTTGATGGTTTCAGCCAAGAACACGCTTGCGGAAATAGCTCTTCAGCATCTACTGCTCAGCCTATCTATGATCCAAACTGTAGTCGTAAGTGTTTTACTTATCTAAGACTGAGTGCGAGCGAGCGGGAGGCCGTTGAACAGAAAGCTTTTAGAATGTGCCGAAGCCCGATTCGCTGATAGACTGCGTGAGTCACTGCATGAAAGGTGAGTGGATCCATGACGTTGTGGAAAGAAAATGGGGAATGCTTGGCAGTGTTGCTTCGTTTCCGAGTTTTTTCCAAAAAAATTTCAATTTCATCAGTCGCCATGAAATTTGATGTACAGACAATCTCAAAATTGTATACACTTTGATCATGAAGAAAATCAAATTCTTAGGTCGTACAAAAGTTCTGACATTAACTGGAGATAATTTTTTTAAAAATTTCCTTAAAATGTAGTCGGTTCGATTTCATAGCATAATTATAATAAACTGTCGGGCAACTTTCTGTAATAGGAAACTTTCACTCAAGCCTCTTTTCGAGGTGACAGCGAAAGCCAAGCAAAAGACTTTGACGTCAACCGTTTCATTCCCTAGAAATTTAGTCCTGCCACTCATATGTACACGGGGCGTTAGGAGAGAACACTTCCAAAAGAGCATGTCAAGATTAGCATATGGTGAGATATCGCGCACGGCTTTGTTGAATGATAAGAGTTCAGCTTTTGTCAGGCAGATGGCAGATGATTATAAATACCAACTACTATTATATTATTGACAACAAA